ACAGACTTGTTATGTGTTTTCATAATGGCTCCTTTTTTAAAAATAAACACATATATCCCTAGTCTTACATACATATGAGAATACATGTATCCTACTTATTTTATTTTATCATTTCATTATTGTAATATTGTACAGTTGATATAGTAATATATGTTAAGTGATTAGTAGTAATAATTGAAGTTAATGTTAATTAAGTTACTTTATAATTATTTAATTACGGTTAATAAAGTTAATGCTATTAAATACATAAGAGCCATAATAATAAGAACCCAAATAAAGACCTGTGCCGGTCAATTGTGATTGCTTATGCATGATACGAATACTACCAGGACTAAGGATTAAGATTTTGAATGAGAACCAAAACTTTAATAATATCAAATGACCTACAGATAATGCTGAAAATGCTGTCCAGATCCAATCAGATTGATTCTATAGAGTAGTTAATGATGTACAGTTTATTTACTCATTGTCAAAATTTATTCCCTACTTCGATGTGGCATGACATGTTATAATATGTCACTCTGTGTAGGTCGATAAAAAGAACAACCTAGAAAGAATTGTAAAGATTTAATTCTGCACACTTAACCTACTTACTGTAAAAATATAAGACATCTTATACCTTGTTTAAGTCTGTCTACAAGGAGCAAATATACGAATTAAAACATACTAAAAAATGTAACCGGACATAAATACATTCAATGAACAGACTTCCCATTGGTTTGGACGATTTCTATGAAAGTCAAAACCATTTTTTAAAGTGCTTACTGTATGCCTGTGAGATTCTTCAAAGAAAAGATTATGATTCAAACATTATGATTCTTGTATTTAATTATTCATAAATAATTTTTTTGATACCTCAAGTACCAGGAATCGAACTCGTGTCCTACCAAATTTGAAACTCAGATTCAGCCAACCCAAAGCCATACTTGACTTTTATGTTCGCACATTTTTCTGAAGTTTTGTTACTTTGTTGTGAAAGTTTTATTAACAAATTGACTTGCTGTGTTTATATTATAACCAGCTGTAAAATAATTAAATTTATTAATTATATTTTTATATTTAATTGTTAAATTTTATTATTTTATTTATGTTAATTCCGCATAACAAAGAAAAATAATCATAAATATATATTTTTTTCAAAATTTCTTTTCTATAATAATAACTTCACCAACTCATCATGGTAGAGATGAGGTTTTTCTATTTGCCAAATCTCTAACTCTACTCGCATAAAGTATAGATACATAAAATATTTGCAAACTACAGAAGCACACATTTATTACTCGTACTATGGAGCACGCTTCAGGGCGTTGAAACCATAAACTTCTCATAGTCGGACTTAATAAATAAAATTTGTTGACTCGGCTTAATTGCTTATTTAATTAAAGCTAAAAGTGAATGCAGGAGCATGAACACGTTTGCATAGTTTAAGGCAATTTTAAGTTGCCGCTTCATTAAAATATAAATTACAAATTTCGTTATTCAGTAATATAGAATTTCATCTAAAATCTTGTGGGGTAGATAAAGAATGGGTATATGCATTAAACTTTAATTTGAGGCTTTACAGTTGAACTGCTTTCGTGCTTAAAACTAATACAAATAAACTTCAATTATTTCGATTGTGGTTATTTGATTTAAATTTGCAAAATTTATTGCATATTACTTTAAAAGTTTAGGATAATTCCTCAATATGAAATAGTTGAATCATTGATAATATTAGAGTATGAATAACTACTGACTTATTCACTTGTTAGTAAAAATCATACTTATCTCTGCAAAACTGCAATGTTCGCTTCTTAATATATTTATATACCAAAAGTTGCCATTACTTCAGATTTATTCAGCACAAATATCAAGAATTTATTGTCATAGATAAAATATTTATTAAATAACTGAATGACACATAGACAGATGCCTTCATTTTGAGTAACAGAAATCTGCTGTTGGGTAATAATTTACGCTCAGGTGGCTCCAGCCTTCATACTTTTATTCAACTGCAAGCAAAGTTACACTCTTGCTATTAGTTCATCCATAAATTTATGCTATCAGATAAACGCACTTTATACGCACTGGCTGCCAATTATTCTCGCAATGTGTGAATCGCATAGTTGAACAGAAACATTTAAATTATTCAGTATTATTAATTGTAAGAGCAAACTATGAAATATTTGATCTCCTCCAGAATTACTGACATTTCTGTCTGGTGTCTGGTATTTACTCGTAATTTGACATTTGACATTAATGCAAAAAGACTTACAGCTGCTAACGATGAAACTGTTAACATTTTATCTGTGCGCAATGATAACAATAGCAAATATGTTGTTGATATAATCTACTAGATACTATGTTTTGTTTCATTCAAATAAATGGGGTAGAGAAATCCAATTTGTAAAGTAGTTTTGCAGCTAATTTTCTTGTTAATTAGTAAAACTAATCATTCGAATAGTGAAAACAACTGGCATATCAGATTAGGGATTGCTAAACTTTGAAGCGCTTCAAAGTAACTAAAAAGTAAAAGTTCGAGTGTATGTATTTGTTAAGACTTGTGAAAAGTTTCAAAGGCTTTGAATGATATATACTTTACAAACTTTGAACTTTTAATAAGTATAAAAATAATTAAAAAGTTCTTGTTAAGGAAATTGCAAGAAATTATTTAAAGTTTGAAATTATATAAGAAAAAAAAACAATAAAGATGTATATGTTTTTGCCAAAGCCTAGGTACACTTTACATAGCATTTTAAATTTATATAGAGGTGTCATTCACTTGATAATATTGTAGAAACATAATACATAGTTAATTGTTAATACAACTAATTTTATCAATAAGAATTTTAATTTCTCGGGTTTAAATCGTTTATTTAGCACATAAAAATGTTGAAAACAATTTTATATATTAATTTTTCCGTGTTATTAGTGATTAGTAAAAATCAGTACAACATAGACCATAGAACAAAGAGGAGGACATATATGTAGTTTTAATAATATTAACTTAAAGTATGTAAACATCACATAAAATTCTTATTTAAAAACTTTAATATATATAATTCCAAAATATGAAATAATTTTATAAAAAAATACTTGTATGTTTGTTGCATATTTTTGTTATGTATTCATTATTAGTCATGAAAATGAAAAATGAAAATATTAAAAATTGTTATAATTATCTTCATAGATCGATAATTATGATGATGACTCTCAAGGATAATCAAAATATAGAGTATAATAAAAGAAAAAAATTAAACAGCCAGATTAAAAATATATATAAAAAACCATTTTAATAAACCGATCAAAAAATAAATTAAAAAAATTTTATATTAAGAATGTGATAAATATTCTTAAAAAATATTTATAAAGCAGATAGAGACCATCTTTAAAAATGATTAATGATTATCTCCTCGTAGAACTTAATATCTATGTTATAAATACTTTCTACGAAAATACTTTCTAAGTGTAGTTTTTTTATCATTTTTATGTGTTAAATAAACGACTTAAGCTCGCAGCAAATTAAAAATCTTATTGATAAATATATTGTAATATATATAATAATAATAATATATAATTGTACTAAAAAGAACTGTTTTTTGTTAATGCTTATATATTTTTAACTATTAAAGTTAGAAATGCTTTTGCTGTTGATGGCAGTAGACATAATTAAGAATAAGATAAATCTGAAGTTTGTAATACAACCATATCCAATTCTAAAGCTTTCGATATTATTTTTATCACAAATATGTCTTCTGTACCAGATACATATTTCAAAGTGAAATCAAATATATTAAAATTATATTAAAATAAAAAGTTGTTCTATTAAAATCATATTCTTAAATAATCGGCTTAAATGGGAACTATATTTACCGATCTTTATCTTTAATTTAAACCACTTTTGATTTACAGGATGCATTTAAGTTTTGCAGGATGCTTAAGTTTTAAACACATACATCGGAAAATAAAATGTTTTCTAACAAAAAAATGTGTGTGACACTGCACTTTATAAGGCAATTATATCTGAATCTGAAAGGATATGAATAAAATTTTGTACAGAGTCTTTTAAGAATATAAGAACATTCTTTTTCACATTGTATTTATAAATATTTTTATCCAAGGCGAAAAAAAAGAGACAAAAATTGAATGGTTTCGGCCTTTCCGACAAATAATCAGGGTTCAATGCCAAGTTATTTATTCAAAATTTCATTGGAATAGCAAATAAACCTAGCGACTACGTTGAACTGAAGTATACAGACGAAGAAGACTTAGCTTGTTCAGCTAATCAAGAATATGTATACTAGTTAGAATCTGTAGAATTATCTCTCATTTCAAATATGTTTTTCGATATTGACTGTTGTGCAGCATCTATATTTTGACCACATGTTTACTATTTATATTCCAATATAGTAAGAGTAAGTTACCGCTTACACGATCCCTAGTCAGATCAGAGAACGTAATATACGTTTTTCTCCCCATTTTGAAACGCCAGCAGTATTATTTCTAAATTTCATTCCATCGGCTTGGAATATACCATTCGAATATCAAGACTGCTAGAATTTTGGATCGATTCGATTCATGAGAAAATATTAAAAAAAAACGGGCAGGAAAAGGAAAAATATTGTATATTGCCTAAACCGCTTCGAAAAAACATAGAATATAATTCTAATAACAGAATTCATTTATTTCTATAATTCATGTGCATGAAGTGCTATATAAAACATATAGCTCTCTATGGAATAGAATCAATTGTAATGAAAAACATTATTTACAAAAAAATTTTAAAGTAAACATTTCTTAGTAAATTGCGGTTTTCTAGTTGAACTCGTATTGTCCGTGTGCAAAATATCACCTTATCATTTCTTTACTAAGCTTTTATAGCTTATCCATATAATGTTAAAAGTTTCTTATCTAACAAAATAATGCGGTTAATAATATTTAGGTATATTTTACAAACTAACGGACACCAATAGTCTACAGCACTAAAAAATGTAATATAAATAAAAGCCCAGCTCTTGGAGGAAATCAAATCATAAAACGTCTTTACACTTGTTTCATTTAGTAACACCAGCAGTAACGATAGTTAAAATGACGGACCAGAAAGCATTGGAACTTATGTTTCAACGTCCATTGGAACCTATCTTCACTTCCAGGGATAATGGTAAAGCTGCGTTTGATGTACCTGATAGCTACTATACGGATCGCTATCAAAGTGCTAGAGATGAAGTGCAATTAGATCGATTTGGTGATGATGTTGAAACTAAAGTAACGTCAGCACTACTAAAATTAAGAAAAGAATAATATACTTTTCTGTCTTTACTACAGATTCCTCTAAGAGAATTGGCAAAGAAGCCAAATTTAGATTTCACTAAGAAGCTTGGAAAACGCCAACAATTTTCTCTGTTTAATGACAAGCATAAGGAAATTGCTGGTAAACTTATAAAAATATTCCTAGATGCACCAGATGTAGCCAGTTTAATTCCACTTTGTGCTTACGTCAAGTATGTGTATTATATAAAGTATCTATATAAAATATAACTGCATTTACACCTATTTATTATTTTACAAGGGATCGCGTTAATCCAGTACTCTTTCAATATTGTTACTCAGTGGCTATACAACACCGACGGGATACACGGGAAGTACAAGTACCACCAATCGCTGAAACTTTCCCAGCTAATTTTGTAGAACCGGCTGCATTTTTAGATGCCCGCGCTGAAGGTTCTCTTATTGGCAATGCTGGTTCCAGGGTGAGTTTTATTTTATAATTATATACCATGTTAATCTGATTATTCTTCGTTTCTTCCATTTATTTCGTCTTTAGGTACACATCGAAATTCCACAAAACTATACAGCTTCGGATCGTGAAGATGAGCAACGTTTAGCTTTCTTCCGTGAAGACATTGGCGTTAATATGCATCACTGGCATTGGCATTTAGTATATCCTACTGAAGGTCCACGTGAAGTCGTTGCAAAAGATCGTCGTGGTGAACTTTTCTATTACATGCATCATCAACTGTTGGCACGTTACAATGTCGAACGTTTCGGTGCTAGTTTAGCAAAAATCAAACCTCTTAGCAATTTACGTGATCCGATAACCGAAGGATATTTTCCTAAAATTTTGAGTTCCGTTAATAACCGAACATATCCTGGTCGTATATCTAATCAAAAATTGACTGATGTTAACCGCGAAGATAATAATATTGAGATTTCCGAAGTTGAACGTTGGAGGGATCGTATTTTCGCTGCAATTGACCAAGGCGTTGTTTTTGATGTAGATTCATATAACTTTTACTGATTTTTTTTTCAATATATTCTAATTTATTTAATTTTAGTCTACTGGAGCAAATATTCCACTTGACGATGTACGTGGTGTTGATATACTTGGTGATTTAATTGAAGCTTC